CTGGGATGACCTGTCAGGGTAACTGCTGGGCACCAGAGGCAGCGAGCTGAAGGACAGAGGAGATGGTCAGAAGAAGGGGCACCTGAAGTGGAAAGTTAGAAGGGAGTGCAGTTATTGGCATTGTTGAGACTCGCAAATAGCCCCGACAGTGGCTGACTGAAGTGTGTGGAGGCCAGGGGAATGAGGGTTAGATGGAGTAGCTACGCACACAGCGAAGTCACCAAGAATGGCAACTGGAGTAGTGAGCAGAGCAAGGCAGAATCTAGATGCTCCAATCCTCAGCAATTGTGAGAGATGTTGGAGATTCTGTAGCTGACGGTGCCTGGGAAGGGCTGCGGAGCCACATCTAGTGGCACATGCTTCCAGGGGTTTAAGGAAAAACTACAACCTGAATGCTGCAGGGGTGGGAGGGCGTGGAGAGGAAGGGAGTAAATGCTGGCAGACAGTCCATCAGAGCCAGCCCCGTCCACCAGAACCATCTGGTGGGATTCAGAATGACAGATGTCCAGGCCCCACCACAGGGACCCTGCTTCCACAGGTCTGGGCCATGGTAAAGCCGAGGGGTCATCGCTTTGAAGCATGGGCCCAGGTGCTGCAACAAGCACCAGAGAACCACCGAGTGAGAGCAGGCAGTGGGTCCATCCGAGCAAAGGCGCAGGCGGTGGGACAGCCGCCCCAGTGAGACAGAACCCTGGGGACTCCAATTTGCCCCGGGCATGTCTCGCTCAGGCGGCCACATTGTTTTGCTACAGATGACCTCATTACTTGTTATTTCTCCTATGTTCTTGGAATTCTGTGTATTAGTAGCTTATATTATCTATGGATTTCATTTCACGTTAGCAAAGGGGATTCCAGAATACTCGTTACAAACAGGTGCTGGAGGGGCTGGCCCCGTGGCCGAGTGGTTAAGTTCGCGCGCTCCGCTGCAGGCGGCCCAGTGTTTCTTTGGTTTGAATCCTGGGCGCGGACATGGCACTGCTCATCAAACCACGCTGAGGTAGTGTCCCACCTGCCACAAATAGAACGACCCACAACAAAGAATATACAACTATGTACTGGGGGGCTTTGGGGAGAAAAAGGAAAAAATAAAATCTTTAAAAAAAAAACAGGCGCTGGAGTGGGTGAGAAGCTCCGTGTGTTCAGGAGGGCATAGGACAAGGGGGTCTGTGACAGACTCAGGGGCGAGGGGAGGCAATTGAGGGGCAGGGTGACAAGGGACACGGTGGTAACCAACCCAGACAAGGGTGATCTGGTGGTTTGAGGGAAGTGCAAGTCGGTGCTGAATGAGGAGTCCCCCCAAGGCTAGGTAGGGGCTGAACCCCTGGGTCCTAGAGGACCCTGCAGAGCAGAGGAGCAGGCCGGGTGCACAGGAGGCCATCAGCCACCAGGTGGCAGCAGGGGACAGGAGGAGAGGGCCAGGCCCTACCTTGGGAAGGGAGGGGACTCCGGGACCTGGGAAGGGCTGCTCCCGGGGCAGGCTGGCTGGGGCCAGGTATCCCACCTCCTTGCTCCATGATAACATAGGACTGTCTCCCCCGATCCTGGTCTCCCTGGCCCGGCCTGGCCACAGAGAAGAGCTGTGTATCCAACCACAGCCCACCTCATGCCCCACAGTCAGGGCTGGTCCAGCCCCTCACCCCTCCTCTCCCTCAGGCCTGCCTTTCATCCTCCGGGAGCGACTGCCCACTTCAGGCCTTCTGTCACCCTGGGCCCATCTCACACCACCCAGATCCACAGGCCCAGGAAGTCCCTACCCCTCTGCCCCATGGAGCCCTCCAGGCTGACCCACAAGGCAAGCAGAGCCGAGTGGGGATTCTCACTCCAAAAGAGAGGCCTGGGCCCGACCCCAGAGCCTGTCACTCTCAGCCTCAGGCCAGGTATGGTGAGAGGACACCAGCTCCACCGTCCTTCCTCAGTGACCAGCTTCTCAGTGACATGGCCCCCTCACCTATGTCCACTCCCCCAAAAACCATCTGCCCACCACCCCTCACACAGCACCCCAAGTCCGTTGCTGCTCAGCACCCCCAGGGGGCCAAGGATAAGGATACACCCTGGGCTCCCCACCTGTGTTCTCACTGGCCAGGTCATGATGGGCAGGTCCGGCCCGCCCCTGGGCCAGGTGCCACCTGTGAGGAATAAAGCCACGGCTGCCGAGGTGGCTCCAGAGGAAGCCCCGCTGTCGGCCATGAAGGGGAGCAGCACCATCCTGCTGGTGGCCCTCACCTTGCTCTGCACCTGCAGTGAGTCTGACGGTGTCCAGCACACTCTCCGCATGGGGGATGGGTGGGAAACGGGGAGCTAGGAGTCCAGACACTGTGCCCCTCACAGTGAATCGTGCCCACCTTCCCAGGTGCCCACCTGCCTCCAGTACAGAACCGGGCCGGGGCCAACAGCCCTGGCACCCCTGCCGACCCCAGTTCCCTCACAGCCCCACCTCAGCACGAGACCAAGCCCAAATGACCCAACCCCAGGCCAGCTCCAGCCTCTGCCGCAGTGGCACCATCAAGCCCAGCATCACCAACCCAGCCTAGAACAGCCTCACCCCAACCCTCCAAGCCCCAGGCCAGGCAACCTCGAGGGAAGGGAAATTCCTGCCACATCAGAGAGGGACTTTCCTTCCCCAGTGATGCCAGGGGACCCAGAGTGGAGAGAGGCAGCTGAGGTGGGGGCGGCAGGAGGGGTTTGCAGCAGCTGGACTTGGGGATGTTGTGGAGGAAGATCTGGGGCGGGTGAGGCAGGGTAATCGTTGTGGGACGCCTGGGGCGAGTGAGACAGGGTAATCGTTGGGGGATGCCTGGGGCGGGCGAGATGAGGGAATGCGGGGGGATGCCTGGGGCGGGCGAGATGAGGAAATGTGGGCGACGCCTGGCTCGGGGGAAATGAAGGAATCGTGGGGGACGCCTGGCTCTGGTGAGATGAGGGAATCGTGGGGGACGCCTGGGGGGGGGTGTGTGGGCTGATAGGGAAGGGCTGGGGCCAGTGTGTGGGTTCACAGGGAAGGGCTGGGGCCGCTGAGGGTGGCGCACTGGGAGGTCTGGGGCTGGGATTGAAATGGAGCCTTTTGTCCTGGTGTCATCTCACCCCCACGCTACAGAGCTGGCCACAGGAGAGGACAACAATGAATTTTTCATGGACTTCCTGCAAACACTGCTGGTGGGGTCCCCAGAGGAGCTCTACGAGGGGCCCCTTGGCAAGTATGATGTCAATGCAGATGCCAAGGCAGCACTGACGGAGCTCAAGTCCTGCATAGACGGTCTTCAGCCTGAGCACAAGGCGGAGCTGATCAAGCTGCTGGTACTGTGGCCGGGGGCACCCCATTCCCTAAAGGACTGCAGCCCTAGCAGGACCCACAGCCCTGCTCCCCAGGCCCTCCACCAAATGCTGTCATCCCTGATCACCTGTCCAACACAGGCCCCCACAGCCTACCATACCACAGACACCCCAGCCTGCCTCAGCCAGCAGAGATGGACATCCCAGACCTCACTGTCTACAGAGCAGCCCTCGGCTTCCCCCTTCTCACACATACATGCAAAAGCACACATGCACACAAGTGCACACAAATGCAACATACGGGCACACAAACCACTTCCCCAGCGGCAAGAGGGGGACCAGCCACAATATGCCAGAGCCCACCATCCCCCCAGAGGCTGGGGGGGCCTGTTTGCCTGGTGGAGCTGTGACTCTCTACTTACTGATCACCAGCCTTCTTGGCCCACACGTGTCTGCCTTCCAGGTGCAAGTGCTGGGCAGTGAGGACGGCGCCTAGCAGACCCCAGACAAGGCTCCAGGCAGCCATAGGACCAGCTACAGAAGCAGCCACGGCCACGCTGCCCCATGACCACTTCATCACGTGTAAATTTATTCCCAAACTGTCCAATCAATAAAGCCTCCTGCAGCTCAGGCTCTGGCTCCTGTCTCTCCCCACACTCAGGGACACAACCACAGGCACACGCATACATAGGGTCATGTGCGCAGAGCATGCACCTATGAGTAACCTTACACAGGACATGCAGGCAGGTACACAGAATGAGACAGACAGACAGGCAGATGTGCAGACGCAGGGAGGCATGCGGACGTGAGAAGGTCTGCAGAGGCAGTGGTGGGAGGCAGGAGCAGGGGTTCAGAGCAGAAAGGGGCAAAGAGCCTCAGAAAGAAGATGTGGCCAGGGCTAGGGGGACAGCTGGGTGACCAGTGCTCTGCATCTAAAGGCTGTCATTCCGAGACAATAAATACACACAATATCCACATGGCACGGGTCCAGGGGGTTGAGAGCAATCTCTCTCCCCAAAGTCACCCAAGGAAAGAGTCTGCCTGGAGAGATGCAGACCCGAGCCGGAGCCCCATGAGGAGCCCTGACAAAGTCAAGGACACTTGCTCACAAGAATGCCAGTGGGACAGCAGGGTCTGAGATAGGTCCCATAGGAGTGCCACGCCAACTCCCGCCCACCCCCAACCAGCACAGACTCTACCCTCACTCTGGATCCCACAATCCCCAACAGCCAGAGCCTTCCTGTGCCTCAGTTTCCCCAGCTCAGTAGTCTCCACTGGAGGCAGGGCAGAGTAGGTTCAGCTCTGCCCCTCATGACCTTTGCTCCTTGGCCACCCCAGCTCTGGGCCCATGGTCTCACTGTCCCTTTTCCTGCCCTCTGCGCCTCTGTCCTGCCCACTATCACGAGGAGCAGAGCACTCCTAGGATCAGAGCTGTGCCTGGAAGGGCTGGGAGGCCCTCAGGCCGAGGCCATTGTTTCCATCACAGACAGTGATCTAGAACCCACCATCCCACAAAGCCACATTCTAGAGCTCAGAGGCCGGGACCCCTCCCCAATCCTCGAAGCCCCTGGGAGGAGAGGTCTTCCTCTCCATGCTCCTTTTTCGGGAACACCCTGGCACCAAGGATGGTGCAACAGGACCGCCTCTGAGGCTTGGTCTGTAGGTTGCTCTGAGCGTTGCTCCTGGACGAGAAGGTAAGGGACCCTCTAGAGAAGCCCTCCCCGCATGGCACAGCCTCAGCCAAGAAGCTCCACACCTTTGCCTGCTGCTCCTTACCCAGTCATGCCTGGGGTCCTCTGAGTAGAGGAACCTGCCCAGACCTCCTTAGAGCCAGAGAGGGGTGGCCAGTGAGGACCTGAAGAGGCAGCTCTTCTGGGCTTGTTCACGAGGGTCCGACACTCGTCTTGGGGGTTGGTGAAGGCATAGCGAACCACGATTCCAAGCAGAGGCTCCCACTGCCCTTAAGCCTGGGCCCCAGCTTGAGACCCTGCTGAGGAGGCTGTGGCCTGCAATTCTGCCTGTCAGTGGGGGCAAAAGCACAGACCGGGGAGAGGCAGCTGGGGCTTTCCAGCACCTGGTCACCCTCCCGTCCACGGACAGAGCCAGCCATGGCAGAGGAGGTATGGGTGGGCACCTGGAGGCCACATCGCCCCCGGGGGCCCATCATGGCCCTCTACAGCAGCCCTGGACCCAAGTACTTGATTCCACCTACCACGGGTAAGCACCAGTGAGTGCGGGAGGGAGCTGGGCGAGGGGCAGGAGCCAGGTCTGAGGTGGGACTGGGGAGGGCCTGGTGGGGCCTGGGGAGGGTCTGAGGTGGGCCTGGTGGGGTCTGCCGCTCATCCCTGACTCCCAGCCCATCAAGTGTTCTGGAGTCAATAGGGTGGGGAGAAGGGTGGGGTCTGGCTCCAGGGTATTCAAAGCCCCTTCCCCACAGGCTTCGTGAAGCACACACCCACCAAGCTTCGTGCACCAGCCTACAGCTTCCGAGGGGCCCCCATGCTCCTGGCAGAGAACTGCTCCCCTGGGCCTCGCTACAGTGTGAACCCCAAGATACTGAGGACTGGAAAGGACCTTGGCCCTGCCTACTCCATCCTGGGGCGCTACCGCACCAAGACCACACTGACCCCCGGCCCTGGTGAGTGACCTTGGCCCAGCCCAGCCCAGCCAGTAGCCACTGCATGTCCTGGTGAGGCAAGGGTGTGAGGGAGCACACCCATCCTCGTCCTCCTGTCCCAGCTTTCTCCTTGAGGGAGATACCATGAGGCCTGGGAGCTGCTGACTGTAAAGCAGCCTCAGAGGCCCTTGAGCCCAGGTCTATCCTGGGCTTTTCTTGGCCTGAGTCCCTGTACCAGGTCCACATCAGACCCCACTCTCCCTCCTCAAAAGTGGCCTTTGTCTCCCGCATTCCCGCAGCCAGCCTTTCCATCCTGGACACGCCCTGACCAATCTCAGTCACCATCCATGTTGGGGCCTGGAGGCCCCATGCCTGCAATGTTGGGGGGTCCTCCTTGAGCCCCAGAGCCAGGCACCTGCATGGATGGTCCTTGCCCTCCCAGCACCTTCTCCACTCCTTTCCTCCCCTAGGTGACTACTTCCCAGAGAAATCTACCAAGTATGTGTTTGACTCAGCGCCCAGCCACTCCATTTCTGCCCGGACCAAGACCTTCCGAGTGGACAGCACTCCAGGTCCGCAGCAGCCCCCACAGCCCACCGCCAACTGGGTCGGGGATCCCAGGTGGGGCAAGTGGGGCAGGTGGGGGTGAGCAACCTAATGGCTAGTCTCCTGGAGCTGGAAAGTCCCAGGGAAGGAGCTGGGGGAGGTTCTGGACACGGGACCCTGTCCAGCCTGAGACTCAGTGCCCATGCACCCTGCAGGCCCTGCCGCCTACATGCTGCCCATGGTGATGGGGCCCCACACTGTCGGCAAGGTCTCCCAGCCCTCCTTCTCCATCAAGGGCCGCAGCAAGCTGGGCAGCTTCAGCGACGACCTGCATAAGGCAAGGGCAGAGCCAGGGCCGACCACTGCTTATCCCCGGGAGAGATGGCTCAGCTGACCCCCTCTCCCAGAACGCAGGACCCAACCAGCCTAACCCCACCCTCCTAAAGTCCCTCAGCTCTTCATCCTCTGGGTGCCTGGGCACTACCTCTGCCCCCTCCAGTGCTGAGGGGGGCTGACAAGGGACAGGACACAGAGGCCAAGGCCTGGCAGGGAGACAGTGACAGTGCTGAGGAGGGCTGAGCAGGAAAGGGGTTTAGGGAGCGCTGCTTGGAGGGCGAGGAGCAGTCTTAGAGAGGGACACGCAGGAAGCAGATGAAGAGAAGCAGCTGTGGGATACTGGAGGGGAAGGTCCTAGCTGCCTGCAGAAACAGCTGATGCAAAGGCCCTGGGGGGATGTGTGGCCCAGAGCTTGCGCAGCCTGGGAGACTGGCAAGGTGGCGTCACAGCATCACGACCTTACTGGCCCAGCCCAGCACACAAGCCTCAAGTCCAGGACAGCCTCCCAGCCAGGAAGGGCCTGTCTCAAGCACACTCACAGAAGGGAGGAGCCTGGGGCTGGCGCACACTTGGGCATTATTGCCATGGCAAGGCTGAAGGAGGGTGGTGATGTCCCACATGGGGAAGGGGTCCCACAGCACTGGGTGTGACTGCTGACTGGAGATGGAAGGGGCCCAACACACAAACGCACAGTGACTGACCCCCACTGTCCGACGCTGGCCCCCTGCCTTCTGGGGTCACATGCCCTGGCAGGCAGAGCCTCTCTGAGCCTCTTTTCCCTCCCAGACCCCAGGTCCTGCAGCCTACCAGCAGACCGATGCGCAGGTGACTAAGTTCAAGGCTCCACAGTACACCATGGCTGCCCGAGTGGTGCCCCCAGGGGACAAGACTCTCAAGCCAGGACCAGGAGCCCACAGCCCAGAGAAGGTCTGGGAAGGGCACAGCCCAGAGGGGTGCAGTGGGGAGTGGGGGTGACATGGCCACCACCAGAGGGCACAGCCCAGGGGGGTTGACTTTGGGGTCATGGCACTGGGGGGTTGGGTTACAGGGCACAGCCCGGGGGGTTGGGAGGAGGGAATGGCCCAGGGGGATGGTAGAGGATGGGCCTGTGAGCCTGCATGGGTCACAGCAGCCATGCACCCTCAGAATGCTGTGCCTTTCTGGTACCTGACCCTTTTCTCCAGCTGGCAGGCTCTGCATCACCAGACAGTAGGGACAGTTAATGCTGCTGAGTGCTCACCACATGCCAGACTCTGAGTTCAAAACTGGCAGTGTGGCCTTTGTGCTGGTACAGCAAGGTCACCGTCAGCAGCCCCAGCTCCAGCCCCAGTGAGGGCAGAGCCTGCAGGTGGCGGCAAGGTTGCCAGTTCCTCTCATAGCCTCTGCTTTCCCAGGTGACAGTGACCAAGCCCTGCGCCCCCATTGTCACCTTTGGCATCAAACATTCTGACTACATGACACCCCTGGTCGTGGACGTGGAATAGCCTTGGCCCCCACCCCAGCCCGCCTCCTGAGCCTCTGTATATCACATTCCCACAAGACTCCCTGGGCCACAGGCTTGGGCCTCCTCCACCAGCTGGGCTGCAGCCAGCTTGGCCCTGCAGGACAGAGCACGCTTGTTGGACAATTGTAACCAGTTATTTTTTCTATGCAACTTTCTCCTTTGCTAATCTTGTTTCCTGATGTGCCCAGATATTTAATAAATCACAGAATCCATTAGCAATGGGTTTGTCCTAGGGGGAAGGGTCATGCTTTTCCAGAACAGGGCCCCCATGGGCTGCAGTGCCAGCCCCGTCGGGTCCCATCCTGGCTTCGAGGCCCTGGGGTATGAATACAGAGAGGGGAGGGCTCCAGAGTGTCAGGCCCTGCCCAGCCTGCTCTCCTGATTCCCTCTGCCTTGAGCCCTGCCCTCCAAGTTTTGTTGTACACCCCGAAGATGATCACACCTGCATCCGTCACTCCCATGTGCTCTCCTCCCTGCATGACTCTCCCCATCGGAGAGACATGCTGTGTGTCCCTTGAGTCCTGTGACCGCCCTGAACAGTGATGCTGCGTGACTTCTGGGACCAGGCCACATTAACATACAAAGGAAACAGCTTCTGCATGGGTATGCCCCTTTTGCACACCTCCAGCACCAGCCACCGCATGGTGAGGAAGCTCGACACACAGCAAGGCCAGGTGCAGCGGCCAGGTAGTCAGTCCAGCTGGGCCCTCAGCTCACACCAGCAGGAACTGCAGACGTGAGCGAGCCTTCGGGCAATGGCACCACCCGCCTCACAACTGGGCGTTGATATCCTAGAGCAGAGACATCAGTCCCTGCTCTGCCTGTCACAAACTCTGAGCACAGTAACTTTGGGACATAAATTGTTACTGTAATGTTATGTGGCTAAGTTTTTTCTTTTTTTCGAGGAAGATTAGCCCTGAGCTGACTACTGCCAATCCTCTTTTTGCTGAGGAAGACTGGCCCTGAGCTAACATCCATGCCCATCTTCCTCTACTTTACACGTGAGACGCCTACCACAGCATGGCTTTTGCCAAGCGGTGCCATGTCCGCACCCGGGATCCAAACCGGCGAACCCCGGGCCGCCGAGAAGCAGAATGTATGAACTTAACCGCTGAGCCATGGGGCGAGCCCCTGTGGCTAAGTTTTAAGGCTACCTGTCACACATCAAAGGTAACACAGGAAGCATGGGAGGACGCGGGCAGGGAAGGTGGTGTCTGAGCTGTACCTGGAGAGGCATTCCAAGAGGCTGCAGAGTCCAAGGCCAGACCTCTGGGTTTCACTCCACCTTGGGGAGAGGTCACTATGGACCTCAGGGCAGCTGTCCCTGTCCGTCACCCCTGTGGGACAGTCGGCTGTAGCTGTACAAAGCACAATACAGCTGCTGACCCTCACTCAGCTGTGACCCTGCCAGGCCACTGCTCTAAGCACCTCACGCTTATCCATTTCATCCTTAAGAGATAACGCCATCATCAGCCCCACTTGAGTGACTGAAACTTGGGCAGAGAAAGGTTGACCAGTAGGAAAGGGCAAGCATGTGACCACCCTCCCAAGGGGACAAATGAGGAGGGGTGCAGGGACCCTGGTGAACCGGAGACGGGGAAGGAAGGAGGGTCTAGACAGTCAATGCCCACAGCCAGTCTGTCGACCATAGTCAGTTCCAGACAAAACTCTCTCAAGCCAGCAGGGAAACAAGGACACCAAAGACTAGTGTACTTTGTCATGAAGCTGTTTATTCCAACCTTTAGTGTTAAATGTCTTGTCCTTGAATTATGGGACAGGACCGGGCAATCTGTTCCCACTTGGCACAGACTGGGGACCCAGGTCCTTCTTTGTTGTCCCAGTATCGGGATCAATGTCAGCAAACCCTAGTGATCCACAAGATGAGGTGCTGAGGGCACAGGGCCGAGCAGAGGGAGGCAAAGACCCCACAGGAAACCCTGCTCTGCCACAGTGGCAGCAGGGCTGCCACGCCCCCTCCATGGAATTCATCCCAAAACAACGAGAATGAGAAACAAAAAGCAAACCTGAAAGGAACTAAACCCCAGACCCCAAGAACTGGCAGGGCTGCAGGAAGCCAAGGAGATGGAAGTGGGGAGGCAGAGACAAGAGACCTGAGGTGAAAACGGAGGTCTCAAGAGAGCAGCAAAAAGCACTTTCCAAGGTCACCCTGAAACACAAAATCTAACTTCCGAGTCTGCACTGGCAAGACGAGCGGACACAGCACAGCAACGGCATCCTCGGGTGTGACGGACTTCCCGTGGCTGAGCCAAGCTCTCAGGAGGTGAGGTTAGACCTCAGGCCCAGGAAAGGCAGGGGATGCAGAGCTTGGGTTCAAGTGTGTCTGCAGGCCTGTGGCAACACTGGATGCAGACACTGTGCAGGCAGTGGCTATCAAGCTTGGTGACCAGTGGGCAGGTCCCCAGGACAGGTGTGATGAGATGAGCAGAAGGCTAATCCAAAGCCATGGTGACAGTGACGCTGGGGAGTGAGGAAGGACCACGAGAACCTGTGAAGGAATGTCGGGAGGGGGAAGCAGTCAAGCCCGAGACATGGAGGCAGGAAGATCGATCTCACTGGGTGAGAATCGAGCACACTGGAGTGGGGCCCTCAGAAAAGAACACCTGGAGGGGTGGGGTGATCAGAACACCTGGAGAAGTGGGGCGACCAGAACACCTGGAGGAGGGGTGCGGTAATTGGAAAAGAACACCTGAAGGAGTGGGGTGATCAGAACAGAGCACCTGGAAGCAAGAAGGTGGGATCCTCCTCCTCCAGGAGGCTGAAGGGCCCAGCCAGGTGTGATGGCACGGAGAAGAGTGCTGTGGTGAGAGGCTGGGCTGCTGGAGGGAAGTGGGAGAGGAAGGGGAAAGGAGGAGGACAGGAGCAGCAGCGGCACCAGGAGGCAAGGTGCCCGGGGATGGAGACCAAAGCAAAGGGGCGTCAGGAGCTGACAGGTACCAGGCTGTGGCTGACACGTGGTCAATATGTGTGACCACACAAGGTGTGACCACGTGGGTGCGTGAACAGTGAGCCAATAATGACTGGGAAATAAGGGAGTGACTGGGAAGGCAGAAAATAAGAACAAGGACAAGGAACAACACAGAGCCGATAACTCATTTCTTACAAGTGTTTTCATGTGAAAACAAAGCTGCTGGAATCTCACTGTGGGGTGAGAAGAGGCCACTGGTCCAGCTGGACTTGTGGTTCGGTTGGTGCGAGCATGGGGCTGACAAAGCGGGTAGTGAAGGCCCAGGAAGAGGTGGGCAAGGAGGGCAGTCTGCAGAGGCTGGGGAGGAGGGGGTTGCTCAGAGCTCCCTCATAGCAAGGGGAGATTTGCTGTGGGAGGAAGCGCTGGACTTAGGGGAAGGGAAATTGCCTAGTGATCCTAAAGAAGTGACCTATGGGTCCTATGAAGAGAATCCTTACAGGGAAGCCTCCTGTCTAGAAACACAGAAGGACCCCCACACCCTTCCTGACTCTGAAATGCCAAATGGGCCTATTTCTAGACATCTTGTCTCCGAAAATACATCTTTGGTGCTGGGAAGACCTTGCATCCTGAGAAAATGCGAGTGTCTGCTCCTGGATACATGGCCACGAGATCCAGAAGGATCGGGGCCCAGCGCCTTCAGCCAAGACTGCAGCCCACTCCTTCATCCGCAAGCCCCTAAACTTCCCCGAGGGTCGGGCTTCAGCTATGGGACTGGAGAGCAGGCACAGAGACCCAGTACAGGACTCTCAACTCCCACTGGTCTGCCCATGCTCAGGATCCCTGGTCAGGAGTCACTGCCACCTCTGGTCTGAGACCTGGTCAGAGAAAACAGTGCTGATTTGAGGTTCACAACCACACCCTCTTCCTGTATCAGCTCCAGGCACCTCAGATACCAGACATGGCCTTACCCAAACTAGCATGGGACAGAGGAGCCTGGAGACGTCAGTCCTGAGGGGCGGGGGAAGGGCTGCTGGCCACAGGTGGCCACATCCAAGATCCCTAGCTGCTCTGCTCAGACCTGGCTCTGCTGGCACCTCTAACACCTGGGCTGGCAGAGGGGGCTGAACTTTGGTTTCCCCAAAGGAAAGGGCCTCTTGCACACCTGGGACCAACCAACATGAGCTCACTGGGTCAGAAGCAGCCATGGGCTCCCAGCCACAAGGAAGAAGATTCCTAAGCCACGATCATCGTTTCAAAGGAGTATTTTGTAGAAGGTCCTCTGGAGCCCAAGACATCAGGCAGGGTAAGACGCTGGTTGCCCCGTGCACCCACAGAAGGCAGCTCCCACTGGCTCACGTCCTTGCCCTTGACAGAAGGTAGGAGAGGATGAAGAAGACCACGATCAGTCCCACAGCCACACCGCATAGGAGCTTCCGGTTGTCTCGCCCAGACCGCGCCATCATGGAAAAGCGCTTCACACTCCCCGTGAGCAGGCTCGTCATGCTTGTGAAATCCGAGTCCTGAGGGAGGAATCCCAGCACCATCACATGAGTGCAGCCTCCAAGACCCACGTGAAGATGCTGCAGGAGACATGGGGGCCTGTATAGCAGGCGAAGTGGGGCAAAGGTGACGAAAATATTCACACATACCACAGACCCTTACCATGCCATCCAGGTACCGGTTCTGGTCCTCTGCATCCCGATCGATGTCCAGGGCCAGCTGGTCAGGACAGAGGGATCAGAGTCAGGCCAGGGAAGACACACAGGATGGTACCTGACCCCCTATAAGACCAGCAGACCCTGCCAACTACTCTGCCAAACACAGTGCTGCCAGCAGAGGTCAGGAGGTCCAAGTGTCACCTGGGCCTCACACAGGTGAGTGCTTCCACGGATGGGACAAGGAAGATGAGAACTACGTGAAACCCTTCCAGGCCTAGACCCTCCCTCTGATCCCTGCTCCAGGGTGCCAGGTGGAGGTGAAACGGGAGGACCCCCACTGACCGATTTGAGTCTGGTAACCTTGGAGGCCAAGCTGTCAGCCATCCGCTTGTTCTCCCGGTCTAGGATCTCCTCCACAGCGCCAGGGCTCTGAGCTGCAGAGAGAGGGAGACTGAGGAGTGCATCCACCCACAGGCACCGCCCTTCATCCCTGCATGACAGCCCTTTGTGGCCTCAAGGCTCTCACTACAGTCCCATATGGCTGACTTGGACGTCTGGGGGGACTGAGCCCACTTGGGTCTGATGAACAAGTCCAGCCCCAACCGAAGGTCCGGTACAAGGACTTCACACACGAGACCGCCTGCGTAGACAAGTGTGTGTGGGCACCCATCACATGAGCACATGCCCTGGGTACATGCCCAGGCCAGGACGGATGGGCACCCCCAAGATGTACAGCCCCAGAGTTCAGCCCAACTGGCATTTTCTGATACTTTGTCACAGAACCTGTACCATCTCTCCACAGATGTCACCACCAGTGTACATGAGGCCTTTCTCAGAAAAAAACAGTAAACTCTGGCACAAATCAAGAAAAGACTGTGAGTGGTGGCCTGCAGGGATGACCTGTGAATTCGGTCCTCAAAAGGTGACAAGTAACCACGGAGGAAACAACCGAGCACAGCTCCCCAACACCCAAAACTGGGGACGCTGAGGTCGATCCCGAGGGCAGGGCCTAGGCCTGCTGCCTCTGCATCCCACACAGGTCCTAGTACGACAGCCAGGGCACTGTGCTTGCCGAGACCTGGCCCATGACTAGGGCTGTGCCAGGTGGTATGGAACTGCTGTCACAGCAGGTGGGTGAGAACCGCCTCCCCCAAGTTCAGAGTGCAAATGTGCCCCCGGCCAGATGCCTCAATAGGACCCATCTAACGGGGGCGCAGCTCTAGAACTACTGATGTGCACAGACCCCACAGGAAGGGGTGTCAGCGTCCTACCAACCACTTCACGTTAATTCCTCAACGGTCACAACAGGCCGGTGAGACAGGCAGACGAGGACGGGGCTCCCAAGGGCAAAGGGGGTGCCCAGGGCCCGGGCGCCACGAGGCCTTCTTGGGCCCTCCCACCACACACAGCCTCCCTCCTAGGGGCGGCCTCCGGGCCCAGGCGGCCGGCCGAGGCCCGGGCAGAACCACCTGGCACGGGCGGAGCGGTACGGGCTCCGGGCACGCAGACCCCGCAGCTTCGCGGAGCAGACGCAGGGCCCCGCGACCCCTCCACGGCGCGGCTGGGCGGGGCCCGCAGGACCCGGGTCTGCTCTCCCGCGCTCACCCCGCGCCCAGTCCGCCATCGTGCGGGCTCGGCTCCAACCTCCTCGGACGTGGCGCAGCCTCGGGAAAGAAACTTCCGGCGTCGCCCCTTCCGCCTCAGGCCCGCCCCTTCCGTCCGAGGCTCCGGCTCAGGGCGCCGAGGAGACGCGGTGGGCACGGAAGTGGCCTGACGTTTGTTCCGCCGCCCGACTCGGGCCGCTTGGGCGTTAGGTTTTTTAACGCCAGTTGCGGCTTCGAGAGACGCTGTCGCAGCCACGCCCTCGAGGGCGGTGTCAGGTCCTAACTGGGAGGAGCTCACGGGCCCTTTCCGGGCCGAGAGGCGGGGCGGGGTCGCGACGCAAAGCCGCCCCCGAGGCCCCAGCGGAGCTCGTGCCCGCGACGAGCGAGCGCGCAGGGGACGCCAGGGAAGCCCCTGGAGAGGACGCGCAGGGGGCGCAGGGCCGGGGCAGCGGTCGGGGCGCTGCCCCTCCACCAGGCGCTGCCCGAGGGCCCGGCGCGCTAGGCAGGGCAGGAGAACCGTGCTTCTGTCGCCGCCACCGCAGTGGGGCATCTGCTGTGTCACTCAGTCCTCCCGACGACCCGCTGGAATGGCGACTTCGATCATCTCTGCTCTTCCAGGCCGGCCGTGGGTCCGAGTTCCCAGGGAGGAGGCCGCCGCGCACGGCCGGGCTCTGCCTTCCTCCTAACCCTAAACCCTGCTCTCAGCCCCCACGGCCATTCCCGCCTGTGCCTGATGCCCTCCCCAGATCCTCCAGGCCCTCTCCCGTCCGCACGTCCTCAGATCCCTCTGCAGCCGCCAGCCTCTCCTTTTCCGCTCACAGCACGGTGCCTGCCTAAAATCGTCCCGTGTGTCCGTTTGTCCGGGTCCGTCCTCGCCTCTGGGACAGACGCTCCACGGAGGGAGGGGCCTGCGGGTCCTGTCCGCCAACATCACCAGCGCCTCGCGTGCAGCAGGCACTCAAACACCCGTTTAACAAGCCAAGTGGTGCGGGGCTGCAAAGCCCGTCCCACCTCGGCTTTACGCGACATCCTGTTCCTTCTGAGCAACAAGAGGAGCGCGGGGTGTGGGGGGGGAGGGGCAGGGGCGAGAAGCGGAGGGTCACTGTTCGGCTCAAGGGCGTCTCGGCATCTGAGGTCGGACGATCACAGAGTCGGATCTTGAAGCCTGGGCGGCAAAACCTTCTGGTTCCAGCGGGCTGTTCCACCTTAAGGCGCGCGCAGCCCAGGCCCCGCCCCCGCGGCGCCGCGCAGGCGTGTCCCGGCCACCCCCGCGCGCCGAACCGGGGCGGGGCGAGGCGGGCGAACTCGGGCCCCGAGCAGCGGAGTGAGGTCGCTCCCGCTTTCCCGGCGCCAGCTCCCGGGGACGCGATGGAGCCCCGGGCGGTGGCGGACGCCGTCCAAACGGGGGAGGAGGACGTGGTTATGGAGGCTCTGCGCGCGTACAACCGGGAGGTGAGCGGAGCACTGGCCGTGGGGCGTGCAAGGCGGCGGTGTGGTGGGTGGGCGCGGCCGAGGGCGGAAGGGAGCGGCGGGTAGCGGCGCCGAGCTTGCGAGGAGCCTTAGGGGAGTCGGGCGCGCTGCAGGGGGCAAGTGTGCGGGCCGCCGTCTGTTCGGAGCGGCGCTGCAGCCTCGGGCCTTGTCTCGGAGCCCGGGACCTGCTTGTGCGGACCTGCGGCCCCTGAGCCCCGGGTCTCCCTACAGAACTCCCAGAGCTTCACGTTTGATGACGCCCAGCAGGAGGACAGGAAGGTGGGTGCTGACCGCAGGGAAGGGGGCAGGGCCGGGTCAAGGGGCCTGGTGGAGCCGCTCTCCTCCCCGCCCACAGAGACTGGCGGAGCTACTGGCCTCGGTCTTGGAGCAGGGTTTGCCACCGTCCCGTCGCGTCACCTGGCTGCAGAGCATCCGCATCCTGTCCAGGGACCGCAGCTGCCTGGACCCGTTCATCAGCCGCCAGAGCCTGCAGGCTCTTGCCTACTGTGCTGGCATCTCCGCCTCCGGGGGATCGGTCCCCGAGCCCCTGGACATGGACGTTGTTCTCGAGTCTCTCAAGTGCCTGTGCAATCTTGTGCTCAGCAGCCCGGTGGCACAGGTGCTGGCGGCGGAGGCCCGCCTGGTGGTGAGGCTCGCAGAGCGCGTGGGGCTCTACCGCGAGAGCAGCTTCCCGCACGACGTCCAGTTCTTTGACTTGCGTCTTCTCTTCTTGCTAACTGCGCTTCGCACCGACGTGCGCCAGCAGCTGTTTCAGGAGCTGCAGGGAGTGCGCTTGCTGACTGATGCGCTGGAGCTGACCCTGGGAATGAGCTCTGAAGAGAGCCCCCCTGAGCTCCTTCCTCCCCAGGAGACTGAGCGGGCCATGGAGATCCTTAAAGTGCTCTTCAACATTACCTTCGACTCCATCAAGAGAGAGGTGGACGAGGTGAGGGCTGATTTGAACCCGAGGGTGGGGCTTAACAGCTTGGACATTTCCTGGCTGTGCCTCCCTGCTGTGTACCTTCAAGTTTCTGTGAGAGGACAGGAGGAGCTCTCAGCCTGTTGGAGGAAGCAGGGAGACACCTGGGTAGGGGCCCCAGGAGAGGCTTCTGAGGGAGGTGGAGAGCACATTTGGCTTTTGCAGCCTGGCAGGAGTGCTGTCTGGTGCATGGGGAGGCTGTAAGAGATTCCCAGTCCTGTGGCTGTGAGCATGGGGCAGAGCACAGAGCGTGACTTTGTTCCAAGGTCCGTTGACGTTCTTAATCAGGAGAGTACTTTTTGGGTCGTGTAGGAGAGGCCAAGAAGCCAGGTGTGTAGCAGGGGAGATGTGTAACTAGTGCACCCCGTCCTGCAGTGGAGCAGACAGTGGAACCTCAGCTCGCAGTAGGAGGATGAGTGGGGCTCTCTCTCACAGGAACTTCTTATTCTTTGGTCAGGAAGATGCTGCCCTTTACCGGCACCTGGCAACCCTCCTGCGGCACTGTGTGATGGTCACTGCTGCTGGAGACCGCACAGAAGAGTTCCACGGGTGAGGGTGGGGCCTGTTGTGCTGGGAGGGAAGTGTGCTCACGTGTCTAGACAATGGTTCCCAGCTCTGGTTGTGGATCAGGCTTCACCTTAGAGAGTCTTCAATCAGTCTGCGTGGTGCTAGACACCAGTGTGTTTCCAAAGAGCCCCATCACTTAGACTATGGGGCCAGGACCGGAGAACCCTGAGTCTGGGAACAGGAACATGTCGCTGGACCTTAGGTAGTGGCAGTGGAGGGTGTGGTTTCTACAGAGCAATGTGGGTACTCACTTCTGTTCTCAGTGACCTGTGCCTGGGGGCAGGTCCTGGTTTTCCAGAGGTCATGTATGGTGCTTCAGCCCAGACAGAGGGTCACAGGTGAGGCATCTGCAAAATAGTGCCCCCTCCTCAGGGACCCATGCCACTGAGCAGGAGTGCCCCTGAGATCAGTCCTCTTCTCAATTCTGGCCCCTAGTGCTGCTCCTTAGGCTCCTGGACATTGGCTCACATTATGTGTGGCCCCAGCAGGGGGTACCAAGGGTTGTACCTGTGCTGGGGGATTCGATTTACCAAGCCCCCCCCCCGCCCCCGCAACATCTGTCTCTAGCCACACAGTGAACCTGCTGGGGAACTTGCCCCTCAAGTGTCTGGACGTCCTCCTGACCCTGGAGCCGCACGAAGGCTCCCTGGAGTTCCTGGGAGTGAACATGGATGTGATTTGTGTCCTCCTCAGCTTCTTGGAGAAGCGTCTGCACCAGGTGGGCAGTGGGTCTTGCTGTGTGGGCTTTCTAGTGACTCTGGCTTTCCCAATAGCTGCAGTCACTGCTTTTGTGCCATCCATGCTAGTAAGTGGAGATCAGCTCAGCAGTGTGATTTGGGTGATTCCTCCAGCTGCTCTGTGGTCCAGCCAGGTGGGAAGCCAGACTCCTCCCTAAGAAGCACATGGACCCTCCCACACACGCACTTGAAGGTTTACTTCTGCTGGTTACTCCCAGGAAACAAGTTTTCAGCATCTGCTTTTTAGATTTTTTAGTGGATCCTTCTTGGCGGTCCTGAGAAGCTCTACTGCCTGCTTATGACCTTAGACTTTTAGTGTTTCTGAGCAGAGGCAGCCCTTGGTGACGAGCATCAGCTATCTCTTGGCATCCCTGAGGGGACCCACAGGAACCTTGAGCCAGAAGCTGCCTGATTCCTGCAACTGTACCATGGGATGTTGGCCATCCGGGGGTCTGACCAGTCCCTCTGGGAGCTTGCAGACGTAATGCAAGCTAAAGAGCGCAATAGACCAAGACTCAGCAGACCCCTTGGGATCCATGTTACCCCAGTGTGCTGTGAGCTAGGTCACACACCTGGCGCTGGACGCACAGGCCATGACCATCTGTCCCTGCCACTGCTGCAGCTGGCGTTGGGGTGCAGGGAGGGTAAGTGGGGGGAGGCTGGGGAGGGACAGGAGCTCCCGCCTCTCTGGGTCCATGAAGCCCACAGAGTAGGGATTTTGTTCTTGTGTTTTTGGCTGCTGTTTTCTAAGAACACTTTATGTGCCAGTGGTGTGCTAAGAGCTGTAAAAGGCTGGGTTTTCTGACAACCCTGGTTACAGATGAGGAAGCTGGACGCAAAGCAGTTATGTGCCCCGTCACAGAGCACGCAAGTGGCCTCCTGACTTAGGTTCCGTCCCCGTCCCTCTTGAAGCTCACAGACCCCCACTGCCTGTTCTCAGCCCCTCAGCTGACTGCCTGCGGCAGGGCGTCTTCCCAAGCGCCTCGTGCCAGCACAGCCTAGAGCTCATGTAGCCCCTGGGCTTCCAGTCAGATGGGGCACGGCCCCGGTGACAGAGGCTCTCCTGCAGACGCACAGGCTGAAGGAAAGCGTGGCCCCAGTGCTCAGCGTGCTGACGGAGTGTGCCCGCATGCACCGCCCCGCCAGGAAGTTCCTGAAGGCCCAGGTACAGGGCTGGGGCACTGGGACCGAGCCCTGCTCACAGACCCTGGCCACTCCAGTCCAGGCTGAGGGATGCTGCCTCCCCAGGTGCTGCCCCCACTGCGGGACGTGAGGACCCGGCCTGAGGTCGGGGAACTGCTACGGAACAAGCTTGTTCGCCTCATGACACACCTGGACACCGACGTGAAGAGGGTGGCAGCCGAGTTCCTGTTTGTTCTGTGCTCGGAGAGCGGTGAGTAGGGGGCCCAGCCCCGAGCCTGCCCCTCTCTGGCCACATTCGCACGCTGATCTCTGCCCTGGCCCTCAGTGCCCCGGTTCATCAAGTACACCGGCTATGGGAACGCCGCCGGCCTCCTGGCTGCCAGGGGCCTCATGGCTGGGGGCCGGCCTGAGGGCCAGTACTCGGAGGACGAGGACACGGACACAGATGAGTACAAGGAAGCCAAGGCCAGGTGTGTGCCCCCATGTCCTCAGGCTCCCTCAGTCTGCCCCCATCCCTGTTACCACACCATCTGGACCCATGGGGTGGGCAGGACAGGATGACAAATGCAGAAGACCTTTGGGAATCAGGCACTTGTTCCTACATGACATGTGTCCTGACATCGGATGTTTTGTTGAGAACACAGAGGCTGAAGGGGCTGAGCAGTCCAGGGACCAGGCGGTCCAGGGATAGGGGCTGGTTAACTGCTGATGCTGGAGGGAGGTCTCTTCCTGCAATTGCCTCACCTCTCCCTGCCCCCAGGAGAGTGAGTTTCTTGCCAGTCTAGGCCCAAGCAGGAAGATGTGGGGCCCCACCAGCCCCTGACAGCCCCTTCTGTCCTGGAGAGTCACTAATGATACCCCACCCCCCTCCTCTGGGAAACAGCATAAACCCAGTGACCGGGAGGGTGGAGGAAAAGCCACCAAACCCCATGGAGGGCATGACGGAGGAACAGAAGGAGCATGAGGCCATGAAGCTGGTGAACATGTTTGACAAGCTCTCGAGGTGCGTGGTGTGGCAAGGCGGGGCCCACAGCCAGTAGAAAGGAGGATGGACGTGTGTCCTGTCTTGTGAGCCCTGGGAGCTGGAGTCAGAGGAGGGTGCAGGGTTCCGGCAAGGTTGCATTACTCATGCTTGAAATTGCCTGTCCTGGAGGAAGACCCCCAGGGAAGGGTTAGATCGCAATCAGTGTCATGTCCATCTTACAGATGATGCAAACTGATGCCCAGAGAAACTAAGAAACTGCCTTAGGTCTCAGAGCCACCAGGTAGTAGTGAGGATTCAGGCCTGAGGGATACAAGTTCCTACCCAGGCTTCCCTGTCAAAAGGAGCAGCAGGTGGCAGTCGGGGATGAGCAGGACCCAGCCCCACCACACAATTCCCCCACAGGCACAGAGTCATCCAGCCCATGGGGATGAGTCCTCGGGGTCACCTGACATCCCTGCAAGATGCCATGTGCCAGACCATGGAGGGGCAGCTCTCCTCAGACCCTGACTCGGACCCTGATTGAGGATGGCCGCTCTTCCACTCCCCCTTCAGAACTGGTGCTGCTTCCAGAGACGTCCTTGGGGCTGTGACCGGGGAAGCTACAGCCCTCCCTCCACCTTCTCTTTTCTCTCAAAGTTCTGTTCACAGTTTGCCTCTGGTCCAATTTTTTAACTCTAGGACTGCGAGGTTCTTGTCCTGCTACAGCTCTGATAACTCAGCCTTCACTTTCACAAACGAAGTGGTTTCTTTCACATGTGCAAAGGCTGCTGCCTGGACACACAAATGAGCGTGTGTTTGGGGGACCAAGGGCTGAGCGTGGGTGCACGCAGACGAAAGCACTTCCACAGTGGGCCCAGACCAGTGTGTGGGGCAAGCACTGCATTTCACAGGGTAAAAGAACCTGCTAGAACTTTATATACCAACATCAGAAACACACTTCCAAGGTATGCTCTGCTGGTTCCCCACTGAGCACAGGGCCAGTGGGCTCCTCCCATTCTTGGTCCTGGCTCAGCCACCTGCTGTGGGTCCACAGCACCTGAGTTCTCACCGGTTGTGACAAGTGAATCTTGATCCCTCCCACTAGCTTAAACCATAAATACATGAAGGAAATATCCTTTGTAAAACCATAAATCTAGACTTATATGATGCACCACACAGTGTCTCAAAGACATCATCCTGCAATAAAGAGTTTCGGGCAAGAATGAGTGTGTTTGTGAATGTATGTGTAAAATCTCAAGCGAAGGCACATTAAGAAGAAATAGGAACTAATTTCATTCTTTTCAGAATTCAACAGTTTTGTCTTTTGTTCTCCTTGAGGAGTGAGGCCACCAGACCCCCTTCTGAAATCTCAGTTAAATCTATTCCAAGTGAGCTCCAGCCTAGGGGTCCAGTAGGAGACAATGCTAGAAAGGAGGGAGTGCACGTGGGGTCACAGCCAGGAGTCAGGAAGGTGTGCCTAGAGGTGCTGTCCACGCAGGGCCTCGGGCAAACCCAGCAGAAGGAACCTGTGCAGGAACAAGAAGCTCACAGCAGGTTCCCCCTGGGCAGCCATGTGTCCTGAGCACGGGTCGGGGAGCCCAGGCAGCAGCGTGGCCTGAGCACAGGTCGGGGAGCCCAGGCAGCGGCGTGGCCTGAGCACGGGTCAGGGAGCCCAGCAGGCAACCGGGAGCCAGCCAAGGTTTGTGAGTAATGCCTTCCATGCCTTAGAGGCTCAGTCCAGCGGTGTTACTGAAAGAAGGCCTGGTGGGGAGAATGGGGACAAGGAGACGTGGAAAGCTGCTGGAATAGTCTGGAACAGATGAGTTTCTGGGGGAGAGTGACCAGGAGGTGAGAGGTGCTGGGGCCTCTCAGCTGGAAGAGAGGGCACGAGAGTCCTCTCCAGGGTGAATCCAGGGACGGATCACCTCAGTCCTTGGATTATTCCAGTAGAGGGGACACCCATGCACCCCAAGGTCCCCCTTCCACATTCATTGTTAGCACGTGCATTCCCTTTGAGACAAAAAGAAGGGATGCTCAATTTTTCAAATTTATTTCATGCCAGAAATGAAGGAGCTTTCTCTAATTAAAAATAAGCCTTCTAAGGAGACCAACATGCTAGAAGACCCTAGTGCATTGTTTGGGACCGAGGACCACACTTTGGGACGTGACTGGGGCAGCTCAGCCCAAGACTGGGTGTTTCTAACGGACAGATGCTGAGCCTGCCCTTCACATGGAGACCTAGACACACTACAGCAGATCTGGTCTGGGATTCCAGTCAGTCTGAGTTCAAGAGGGTCAGAATCTTTTGGCATTAGGAGCTTGAGCAGAGTGAAGAGCTAAAACCACCACAGCAAAAAGGCAGCTCCTTTGTACCTGCGACCAGGTTGTCTCCAAGTGTGATCACTACCCTACCTGTCAGCACAGCGCTCACGACCTGGGAAGATGTGCACACGTGCTAGTTCAGCCACAATGTGTAAACTTGCCCAAGCTGTTCTTCAGGCACGAGGTCTCATCAGGAATGGGCTGTGACTCTCCCATGAAACCACTTCTGCTACGAGGGACAGCTGTCACCCTTCTATCTGTCCTGTCCATCGAGCTGGAACACAAAGGGGAGAGGGAATCAGTTATCCAAAAACACCTGGGCAGACCCACAGATCTCAGGGCCTGGATGCAGTTTTATAAAACGGAAGCTTTTCTGCCTCTTTGCAAATTCTGCTGTTGAGCCAAGTAAAGACATGCCAGCAGGGCTGGGCAGAACTGGGTGGCTAAATGGAGGGCCTCAATTAAGTAGCCGATCAAGATGTATGAAGGTCACATGCTCAAAGACATTCACTATTTGGAAAAGTAACTCAGGTTAGACTGTAATTCATCCCTCAGTGTTTATTCTTGGATAACAACTCCTTTTAAATAAATAACCCCCTAAAATCATAACCCACTTGACATAAATTACTATGAAACTAGAAAATAGCACAGGTCAAGCCCTATAGCACTACCTCCAAAGACACCTAAGGGGCTGCTTGACTGGTCTTGCTGTTGAATGGAAACAGGAAGTCAGAGGCAGGCGAAGAGTGCCGTGCAGGCAGCCAGGCGGATCTGACCCGAATCTCTGTTGCCCTGAGAGCAAGGTCTCTGCTTCCATCCTCAATGTGTAAAGCATAAGCCTGCCTCAGTGTTAGCTGGATTCTCTGCTTCCATAAAGTGACTCAGCAACATCATTTGGACATTTGATGGTCTTTATTTCCCCCAACATGAGAGGGAAATGGCACCAACCTACATCTTAGCCCTAAGAGCCAAAGTGGAATGAAAGGCTGGAAATAACAGTGGCAACAATGTCTAATATGTGTGGGAACAGTAAATGCGAAGGCTCATCTCCTTGATAAGCCTTGTATTCTTTGGTTCAATCTGTAGGAACTCAGGCTGCAGCGAGAGGCAGGGGCTTTAGCCATGGAGGTGAGAGGGAAGGGCCCTGAGGCCTGAGGCAGTCACAGCTGGAGGGGGGGGGGTTCCCAAGATGTCTATCTTGGGGCAACAAGACCCTCGGTTCTGGCAACCTGGCGAAATCCCCTTTGGGTGTGTTACACCTGCCTGTAATCACGACTCTCCTCTCTGAGACGACTAGACTCCAGTGCTCAACGCTGCCTCCTGCAGGAAATAATCCCTCAACTCCCAGCTGCACATGCTGGTTCTCAGGGAAACCACGTTTTCCGTAACTTCACTTGTTTACAGGAGGTTTGAGGTCTGGAGAGTGTCAAGGCTCTTTGGCTTTCTACCCTCCCTAGATTGTGACATGTCAGTGGCTCTCATGCTGATTATTTCCTAAAAGTGCGTGGTGTGGCTCCATCCCACACAAGCGAGAACTTCAGCTTCTCCAAGTTCCTGAGCCTGTATCACCTCAGAGTCATCCCTTGGCCTCAAGCTGTTCAGTGCTGCTTCATTTCAGGGAACACGAGGCTCTGCTGAGGAGCGGTGAGAGCACAGACTCCCGACAGCTCAGCCTGCTGGCCCCGCGTGCCTGCTCCACCGCTGAGAGCAGGCGCTGGGTGCCAGCTTCTCCATCTACACGAGGGACTGAGAATCGCAGCACCCGACTCACAGGCACACAGCCAGCCAGGCAATGCCTGGTGCAGGATTCGCAGCCAACATTAGCTGATCCTGCACTGTCTTAGCCAAATGGCTCCACACCCAGCGGACCCAGATCCCAGGGCAGTGAAGAAGGCAGGCCCTTGATGACCCTACTCAGCAGTCTGTACCTTTCCAGTTTCCCGCTGGATGAGGTCCTGCATCTCTTCCGTCCAGCCCAGAAGCTCCACCAGCTTTTCCACACCATGTACCACGTCCCCCAGCTGAACCACGTCCCTGCTGCGAGGACGCCACGCCAAGGGCCCCACCAGGTCCCGGTTGATGAGCAGTCGGGGCACCGAGCTCTGCACGGCCTCAGACAAGCTGGCAAAAGGTTCCACCTGGAAAACGTGAGCAGAGTATCCACCCTCTGCACCCCTCAGGACACTTCATGCACAGCCTCTGAGGCCTTGGAGGGACAGCACAGACTGAGGGTAAGGCCTCGGATACAGAGATGACACACCACCCACTTTATTTCTTCTAGTTGCCTTCCTGCTCTTTGGTCTCCATGCCCTTGTTTCCTCCTCCCCTGAGCCTCCCTCTCCTCCTTGTCCTCCTCCAGCTTCTGCGGGTGCTCCTCCCCAGCAATCACACAGTCTTACCTGTCTTCCTCCACCATCTCCCAGCATGCCACTGACATGTGACACGTCACGCCTGTCTGCTCTCACTTCCTGAGAGCAGTGACCTGGTCCCACAGAGGGAGCACCTCTGAGGGCTCCTGATGCCCCTGTGACCTGGCGGTTTTCCCACCTCTGCACAGCCTTCACTATCTGGACCTCCAGGGGGCCTAACTCGGGGCTGTGGGCTTCTTCATCCAGCTCTCAAGTGAAATTTTCACTCAAGAGTAGTAATGTAAGAAATGGATAGGTTAATAAATGGTATTGAGACTGGCTCCTTATCTGGGAGGAAAATGCTCAAATCCTGCCTTTCACTGAAAAAAAATCAAGTGAATTAAAGATTTAAATGTAAACAAAATAGGCCTTGAAGAAAAATTAGGGTTTATAAGTAAAGGAGAGGAGGACTTTTTAGGCATAACAGCTGAAGTCAGATAAGACAAGGGAAAATGAGGACATATTTGACTATGTGATGCTATCACACTGTCATCTACACAAAACTCCCATGCAGAAAAATAGTTTTTAAACCTTATCACCATAAACAAACTGCAATAACACAACATGTGACAAAAAGTTTATATTGCTAATTGATCAGGTAATTTATAAACATTTTACATAATTTACGAATTTGTATTGCCAACTTGTGAAGAGAAAAAAATAACCCAGTGGAAAATGGGCAAGAGATACAAATATGCAGAGAGAAGCAATATGGTAGTCAATAAACATATGAGAAGATGAATGCCACTCCTCATTACAGAAATGCAAAATCTCTCTCTCACACACACTTGTTACTTTTGACCAGATTTGTAAAAACTTAAAGACAGGTAATATTTGGTAGTGGTGAGGAAATGGGAAAATGATCAATCACATACTGTTGGTGGCAGTGTAATAGTGTATTTTTCTGGAAAGCAAGTTCTCAATATCTATTTACTACAGAAGTATGCATGAGTATGTAAAAATATATAAACATGGATATTCACTACAACATTATTTATTTTTTTTTGCTGAGGAAGATTAGCCCTGAGCTAACATCTGTGCCCATCTTCCCCTACTTTATATGTGAGTCACAGTGACAGCATGGCTGACAAATGGTGTAGGTCCACTCCTGGGATCCAAACCCGTGAACCCAGGCCACCAAAGTGGAGTGCAGGAACCACTTAACCACTTAACCACCATGCCACAGGGCCAGCCCCACAACATTATCTTTAATATAAAAACTGCATACTATTTATTTTTGCTGTTCATCAATAGGACACTGCTTAAATAAATTTTGGTATAGATCCATAATCCCTTGTCTTAAAACTCTTGGGGCTGGATGTGTTTCATAATTCAGAATATTTCAGATTTGAGAAAACATGATACAGTTTACACCATAATTATGTCACAGCTCAGTGAGATGCAGAGAGCTCCGCAATCCAGCACACTGACATTTCTTCCACAGCATGTGACACAGATAGTCTGTGAGCAACACAACAGGTAGCTGAATGCGACTAGCTCCCTGTTTACAGAGGAGCACTCTGCTTTGGGGCCTCAGGTGGCCCTCACATCCGTAGCTGTAAGGGATGCTGTGGGCATCTACAGGTGGGTCTCTGTGCACAGTGTTGCCCCACTTCTGGTTGAAGATCACCACATCTGTGCACGTACATAGTTGTATAGAGGAGACACCTGAGGCGACATGAGAAAAATGCTAACAATGCTGGTGCGACTAAAGTGATCTTTGCTCTATATATAATGTGTGAATTTTTTTAAAACAAAAACATGGTACTTTTATAATCCGGAAAAAAAGGCTATTTTCATTTCTCTTAAAAAATAAAGAGGCCTGGTGGCCCCAGTGTCCACACCCGGTAGCCAGCACAGGTCAGCACCACATGCCACTGACCACCACGGTTCACTGGCCCCTCTCCCTGCCCCTCCCATGTCCGTCCCCCCATCCAGGCCCAGTGTGGGCACCCCAGATCTGTTCACACTCCAGGCTCTTCCGTCTGCTCACTCTGGCACCCTAGTTCCTACCTCTGCTCCTACCTGGACTCCAGACTTGAAAATCTACCTAACCTGCTGCCCATGTCCACTTGACAGCCCCACACACTCAAATCGGGGTTCCAAGGCCAAACTCCCCTAAACTTCCCACCAGGCTTCTCCATCTCAGGAAATCAGCTCCATCCTCATGGCTGCTGAGGCCACAACCCTGGATCCTGTGGGTGTCCACACTTTCCCATGGACTCCACCTTCACACAGGCCTGGGCCCCAGCACCCTCTCCCGGCTCCACCTGCCACCCACTATCCCACCCACATCACCACCTAAGGGCATCTCCTGGCTCTTCCCGCTCCCACAGTGTCCCCATTCACCACACAGCACCTAGAGGGACAGGCAGTGGGACCATCCCCACCGCTGGCTCCACCTCACTCACTCCACCAGGCCCACAGGCCACTGCTTAGCCATGGGTAATGAATAAAGAAACCTCAACTAAACTGGATGGGGAAGTCCTGCAGGGAGAGCTCTCACCGCCATCACACATCATCAATTACTCCGAACAAGAAGAGAGGACCTTGCATCTCAGACAGGAAGTCCAACTACTTTACTACTGAAAGAAGATTCTCTCCCCATCCAGCAACAGCCCAGCCAATGAGAAACGCCGCAGGTCTGCCAATGAGACGCCGTTGCCTCCCTCAGCTGTTACTCTCCCCCAGTGGAGTTTCCTTTAGAACAGCCCCTCCCCATCCCGCTTTTTCTCTGTAAAAGCAGCTCCCCTGTTCATCCTCCATATTCGGCTATGGTTTGCCAGAGCATGCACATCCTAGATTGCAATTCTTTTGGCTATTCCCGCATAAACTCATTTTGAGGGTAAAGTAACAGGCAAACTTGCTTTTTAGGTTGACAGCTAACACCTTCACCTCCTTCAGCTCTTAGCTCCAGTGTTACCTTCCTAACAAAGCGTACACAAACCAACCAAGCTCATATCACTATGAGTCCCAGCCCCTCCTAGCCTTTCTATCCTACCTGTCATTTTTCCCACAACAGGTACACCACCTAACATACTATATAACTTACTGCAACATCTTACTGTGCCTGCCCAAAGCACTAGGACAGAGCCCAGCACACAGCAGGCAGATTTGCTGAATAAATACACAGTCTTGGGCCTTTGTGGCTGGCCAGGACCCCTGAGAGTAGGTCTTTCTGTCCTTTCTTCCCCCTTGGTGCCTCATCCAATCTGGCAGAGCTCGTTTCAGGGTCTCATTTCTTGCTCTCATCACATCATTTATAAATTTCCTGATTTTCAGATTCAGATGTAGAAGAGCTTCTTGAACATGTCCAATGGTTGTCTCCCAGGCACCTCAAATACACAGGGCAGAACTGAACTCAGCATCCTCCCCCCAAATTCTTCCTCACTCATAAATGGCCCGAAGCCCTGCAGACCAAACCAGACACCTCCCTCTCCCATCCAAAAAGTGACGCCAGGCTCCAAGTCCAGCCGTTCCCTCTCATTGCCATCTCTCACAGTCATGTGGTCTGACCACCATGCCCTCAGCTCTGCTTTCTTTAGGACCAGCCTCCTGGACATCTGCTCACTTCAATCCCTGCTCCTCAGCAGTCTCTCTCATCCCGAGGATGACCAGCTACGTCCCTGGTTCAATCTCTTCAGGCTTATCACTGCTTCTCCCACAAAATCGGTCTCTGTGATATGACCTGGGAAGCCTGCTCCCACCTCACCTCTCCCACACCCCTTCTGTTCTCCCTTCCCCTCACACACCGTGCCCCACCCACACTTACAGCACCTCCAAAGCTGCACATCCTCCCTTCTCCCTGTTCTCCTGCCCAGCTGCTGCTCCCTAGGCCTAGAACACTTGTGCTTCCTCATCAGTTGAATCCACTCATCTCCCAAAGGTAGAGACCCAGAGTGCTCCCAGAGAACCTGGAGCCACCCCCACCAGCCCCCACCTCCTCTGCCCAGTCCTTCCAGCCTCCTTCCCGCATACTCTGAGCCCCACTGGGCCTTTTGACAAACCTCCAGGGAGGTCCCAAGGATAAGCAGAAGATCTGCCATGGGGAAATCAATCACATGCAGCAAGAACCTCTGGGGCAGCGGCTCCCCAAAGAACACGATGTCTGGTTTCACAATGCCAGTGCAGACTGGGCAGCGGGGGATCCTGTCCACCATCACGTCGGCCTGGGGTAACACAAACAGAAAATGGACCCAAGGAAGATGTTGCAAAACACTTTAAAAGGAAAAGGCAAAAACAAATTCTTATTAAGAAATTTTCAAACATTCACAAAAGCTGAGAGAGCAGTATAATGAGCCCCCATGTACATAATGAACCCAGCTTCAACAATTATTGACATTTTAACAATTTTGTTTCATATAGCTCCCAAAATTTTGGGGAGGTTGGAGTATTTGAAAGCAGATCCTGGACGTCACATGACATATAGCACATCTAACACTGTGCTCTGCACCTGGAGTGGTTATCAAGGACACTCAGCTGCTAAGGAAATACTCAGATTACGCAGTCCCTGGAAGGCACTCTGAAGGCATTTGGCCTACAATAGGCATCATTCAATGAGAAAATCTGTCCCTGATTTTAGCTGAAGTGATCATGATATTGTCTCAGCCCTGGGAGATGTTCAGGTCAGCGTCAACTCACTGGCTGGAGTTATGAGTAACATTTGCCACAAACCATTTCCTTGCAGGCCATGGTAAAGTAGATGCAAATTATGATTATATCCTGCTACACTTGGATTGATGCCGTGGGCTAGATGTTAAAGGAGGAAACCTAAGGAAGAAGACACCTGGTTTTCTAAGATAAATCTTTACAGCTAATGCGATTTGTTTTAGCAGGCTGAACCCAGTAAAAAACAGCAGAAACACTGGACAAAAGAAATGGACTATTCAAAGACTTCCGACATTATCAGATATACATTAAAAACTATATTATGTTTAAATTAAACAAGACAGGATAAAAAAAATATAAAAAATAATGTAGTGGATTTGAAAAAGAACCAAATAGAACTTCCGGAAACAAAAAAGTAAGGAAAATTGAAACTTCATGGAACAGCTTTATTCTCTAAACAAAACAGAGTATTGACAAGCTGGAAAACAGTCCAGAAGAAAGTACACCAAACGCAGCACAAAGAGGAGCAAGGTGGAACACAGAGAAGAGTGACCAAGAACTGTGGGCAAGAGCATGACAAGGTCTAACAGATGTTTAATCAGAGTTCCACAAGGGAGAGGAGAGGAGATGGCAGGGACAAGGAATGTCTGAAGAGATAATGGCTGAGGATTTCTCTAGCAACAATGAAAGATATCAAACCACAGATTCAGAAAGCCTTACAAATTTTAAGCAGAATAAGTAAATAAGAGGAAATCTATATGGAGACACACCACAGTAAAAGTGCAAAACTCCAAAGACAAAGAGAAAAGTGTTAAAAATATTCAGAGAACAGACAGCAACAAACTGATTCTACAGTTTATATGGAGAGGCAAAAGACCCAGAATAGCCAACACAATATTGAAGGAGAACAAAGTTGGAGGACTGACACTACCTAACTTCAAGACTGGGTAACTTTAAATAAAGGTAAACTATTCTCTATACTATAATGCTGGATACATGTCATTTTAATTTGTCCAGAACTACAGAGTGTATACCACCAGGATGAACTCTAATGTGGACTTTGAGTGACAGATGATGTATCAGTGTAGGTTCACTGACTGTAACAAATGTACCACTCTGGTGAGGCTGTGCTATGTGTGTCGGGTGAGTATGTGGAAATTCTTCGTAATTTCCATTCAATTTTCCTGTGAACCTAAAAGTGCTCTAAAAAATAAAGTTTACTAAAAAAAAAAAAAAAAAGGTATCTTAACCATCCTAAAATTAATATGTAATTTCAACAGACCCAAAATAGCCAAAACAATCTTGAAAAAGAAGAACAAAGTTGGAGGACTCACTCTTCCTGATTTCAAAAGTTATTGCAAAGCTACAGTAATCAAAGCAGTGTGGTTCTGGCATAAAGACAGGCATTATAGCCCATGGAATAGAGAGCCCAGAAATAAACCCTCGCATAAGGTCAATGATTTTCAAAAAGGGTGTCAAGATGATTCAATGGGGAAGGGACAGTCTTCAACAAACGGTGCTGGGAAAACTGGACTGCCACATGGACAAGAATGAGGTGGGCCCTTATCTTACACATACATAAAAACCAACTCAAAAAGCCTAAACATAAGAGTTAAAAACACAGAGAAAAGATTCACAATCTTGCATTTGGCAATGACTTCTTGGATATGACACAAAACCACAGGTAACAAAAAAAAAACCCATAAATTGGACATCAAATTTTAAAACTTTTGTGTGTTAAAGGGCACTATAAACAGAGTGAAAAGGCAACCTGCAGGATGGGAGAAAATAAATCCTGTATGTGATAAGGGGTTAATATTCAGAATATATAAAGAACTACAACTCAACAACAAAAACCAAATAACTCAACTAAAAAATGGGCAAAGGACTTGAATAGACATTCCTCCAAAGAAGATATACAAATGACCAATAAGCACATGAAAAGATACTCAATATCACTGATCATTAGGAAAATGCAAATCAAAACCACAACGAAATATCACCTCATACTCATGAGGATGACTACTATCAAAAAAAACACAAAGGGGCTGGCCCGGTGGCTGAGTGGTTAAGTTTGCGCACTCTGCTGCAGGTGGCCCAGTGTTTCGTTGGTTCAAATCCTGGGCGCGGACATGGCACTGCTCATCAAACCACGCTGAGGCAGCGTCCCACATACCACAACTAGAAGGACCCACAGCGAAGAATATACAACTGTGTACTGGGGGGCTTTGGGGAGAAAAAGGAAAAAAATAAAATCTTTAAAAAAAAACAACACACAAAATAACAAGTGTTGGCAAGGACGCAAAGAAATTGGAACCCTGATGCATTGCTGGTGGGAATGTAAAATGGTGCAGTCACTATGGAAAACAGTATGGCGATTCCTCAAAAAATTAAAATAGAATTATCATATGATCCAGCAATTCCACGTTTTTTTTGTATGCTTTTTTGGTGAGGAAGATTGGCCCTAAGCTAACATCTGTTGCTAATCTTCCTCTTTTTTTCCTCCCTAAAGCCCTAGTACATAGTTGTATATCCTAGTTGTAGGTCATTCTAGTTCTTCTATGTGGGACACCACCACAGCATGGCTTGATGAGTGGTGTGTAGGTCCGTGCCCGGGATCCAAATCGGCAAACCCCAGGCTGCCAAAGCAGAGTATACGAACTTAACCATCCAGCCATGGGGCCAGCCCCCTCCACTTCTTGATATATACCCAAAAGAACTGAAAGCAGGAACTCAAACAGATATTTGTATGCTCATGTTCATAGCAGCATTATACACGATAGCCAAAAGGCAGAAGCAACCCAAGTGCCCATCAACAGATGAATGAACAAACAGAATGTGGTATATGTTAAAATGGAGTCTTACTACACCTTAAAAAGGACAGAAATTCTGCGGTATGCTACAAAATGGATGAACCTTGAGAATATTATGCTAAGTCACAAAAACAATAAAATATTGTGTGATTGCACTTATATGAGATACCTAGAATAGTCCAATTCACTGAGATGGAAAGTATACTGGCAGTAACCACAGGCTGAGGGAGGGGAGAGACATAAGTTGTGCTTAATGGGAATAGAGTTTCAATTTGGGATGATGAAAAAAGTTCTGGAAATGGATTGTGGTGATGACTGCACAACAATGTGAATGTACTTAGTGCCACTGAACTGTGCACTTAAAAATGGTTAAAACAGGGGCCGGCCCAGTGGTACGGTGGTTAAGTGCGCACCTTTCGCTTCGGCAACCTGGGGTTCACTGGTTCGGATCCTGGGTGCAGACACGGCACCGCTTGGCAAGCCATGCTGTTGTAGGCATCCCACATATAAAGTAGAAGAAAATGGGCATGGATGTTAGCTCAGGGCCAGACTTCCCCAGCAAAAAGAGGAGGATTGGCAGCAGATGTTAGCTCAGGGCTAATCTTCCTCAAAAGAAAAAAGGTTAAAACAATAAATTTTATGTTCTATATATTTTACAACAATAAAAATAATTTTTAAAAAGAGTATTTCAAACGTGAAAACAAATGCATGTGGTAATTTTAGGATTCCCACTAAAAGATTAGAAGCAAGTATATATTTCCCAAGCTCATACAGTGGAAAAAAAATGGAATGACTAAAAAGCTGGGAAAAATAGAGAGCACAAAACAAGATGGTAAACTTAAATACAAATATTTCATTAATTACATTAATGTAAGTGGATAAATCCTCAGTTAAAAAAAATTATCAGACTGGGTTAAAATATAGAACCTAACTATATGCTTTACAGAATAACATATCTAAAACATAAGAATATGGAAAGACTAAAAGCGGACACATGACAAAGACACCCCAGCAAATACTACACAAAAGAAAGCTGACATTGCCAAAGAAGGACTTTCGGGTCAAAGTAATTTTTAGAGCTAGAGGAGGATAAGACAATGGTACATTTGAATGTACCTCAATTACTTAATCTCAAGATACATAAAGGAAATATTGACAGAAATACAAGTAAAAATAAATAAATCCACAGAGTGGGACATTTTTACACAATTCTCTTAGAATAACCAAAAAGCAGATAATGATATATAAAAGATTTGAACAGAATTAAACTTGATCTGGCCATATGTGCAGAACAAACCTTCAACCATTGCAGAATGCTCTTTCTTCTCAAGTACATTCTGAACATTTACAAAATTGGATCATATATGAGGCCGTAAACCAAATCTCAACACATTTCACAGGTCTCGGATCCAACAGCAAGAAGGACAAAAGAGAACTCGAATGCTGGGAGAGGAGAGTAGGGAAACGTGAACTGCTTGTAAAGTGAAGGATCTTTTATGATTGCAGAATGGCAGGACTTAAAGAACGCGGCTGTATCACTTTTGGCTGGTGGCCAGGGAAATTCACATGTCTCCTTATGGATAAGACTGGAGCAGGGATAATCAATGCAGGTAGACTTCACAGGGCAGGACCTCACAGAAGGAGAGGCGGTGGGCAGGGGCAGCGACCCCCTAGGCCCCCTTAGCTGGAGCCCCGCCCTGGAAGGGGCCTGTTCCAGCCCAGCCCTGGCTCAGCCCCCATGCACCTCCCTGGGATCTCCATTATGAACCTTCCAACCCGACCCAGGAAGACTCTAGTCCTGTGGGAAGCTTTGAGTTCTCTGAAAGATGGTTGTATCATTTAAAAAGAGCAGTTTCACCCTTTTTTATTCTGACGTTTCAGAAAGAAACAGAAGTGGGAGATAAGGGGGTTGGAGCGATTACAGTAATGTGGCTAGTTCCCAAAGGTCTACCAGAGCCGGCTCTCAATTTGTATTTAAAAAAAGTCTCCCAACTTGTTTGATTTTTTAAAAAGAAAGGAAAAAAAGCTTCATCCTTATTCATAGTGTCCACCACCTGTTCTCTGAAGATTCTGAAACTTACACTTGCTGCCCACACCTCTTTCCTGAGCTCCGGATCCCCCAGACTGGTGCACCCAGAGGACCCATGCCCAGGACATCTTCATAGAGCCCTTCCTCCCCCACCTCCAGTCAGCCCTAAGGCATCATTAATTCTGCCCCCTGGGCCTCCTCAAGTCATCCTCTTCTTTCTCCACTGCCCTGCTCAGCCCAGACCCTCACTATCTCTCACTCAAATTTCCTGAAAAGCCTGTTGTGAAAATAAAGGGAGCCTCCTTTAAAATGGAGTCGGGGAGCCCTCACACAGCACCACTTGCCATACCTCACACTCCCTGACAGGAGGAAGCTCGGCTGGAGGAGGGAAGATTTCCTCCTTGCCCAGCAACAGCCCAGCCAATGAGAAGCCGTCACCACCTGAACTCTCATTCTCCTCCAAAGGACTTTTGCTCAGCACAGCCCCTCCCAACTTTCTCTTCTCCTCTTTAAAAGCAAGCCCCTCTCCTTTGCTCTCTGTACTTGCCTATGGTTTGCCATAGTTTGCGTGTCTCGAATTGCAATTCCTCTGCTATTATCAAATAAACTAATTTTGCTGGTAAAATAACTCGCTATTTTATTTTTAAGGTCAACATCCTCCCCACAGTAGAACTATTCACAATAGCAAAAAGGTGAAACAACCTAAATTGTGGTGCACATATACAATGGAATACTATTAGCCATAAAAGGGTATAACACACAGTAGTGCCCCCTTACCCACAGAGGATACCCAAGACCCCCAGTGGATGCCTGATACCACGCAAAGTACCAAACCCTACAGTAGTCCCCAGTTATCCATGGTTTCAGTCACCAGCGGTCAACCATGGTCCACAGGTAACTGAAACCATGGGAAGCAAAACCGGAACAAGGGGGGACTCCTGTGCTGATACATGCTACCACACGGACAAACCATGAAAACATGACGCTAAGTGAAAGAAGCCAGACACACAAAGTCATCTATTGTAAGAGTCCAATTACATGAGACGTCCAGCAGAGACAAATCCACAGAGACAGAAAGCAGACTGCTGGTTGCCAGGGGCTGGGGGAGGAGGGAATAGGGTTGACTAATTAGTGGGTATGGAGTTTTCTTTGGGGGTGATGCAAACGTTTTGGAATTAGATAGAGGTGGTGGTTGCACAACATTGTAAATGCACTAAATGCCAATGAATTGTACACTTTAAAATGGCTAATTTTACATTATGTGAATTTCACCTCAGTAAAACATAAAAGACAGGGTCCTGTGCCACTGGGTCCTGTGACACTTCAGAGGCTCATCTTTACTAAGATTTTCCACTCTATCCTATTCTACTTAAAAAAAAATCCATCTTACAGAAGTATCTGCAGAAGTACACGGGGGTATAAACATGGGTATCATTGCTGTATTATTTTCAGAAGTAGAAATTACAAAATCAAACACTATCGCACAACGTGAATGGCTAAGGTAATACTCTCTAGTTACTACAAAGAGTGAGCAGAGCTGCTGTTACGGACACAAGATATCCATGCAATTTTGCTCAGTAACAAAGCAAGTTGTAGAATATTAAGCTGAATGATCCCATTACTGAAAAAAAATTGTAACTGTGTGTGGGTGATGTTACATAGATATTTACATGTATGTTTACATATACATCTTTTTTTTAAAGGCCTGTAACATTAGACACCAACCTCTTAAAAATGGGCTCTAAGAGCTGGTTGGAGCGAGACCCATTTCCCACATATTTTCTGTGCTGCCCTAACTTACAAGCTTGTATTACTTTTCTAACTTAAAAACAAAGAAAAATATTTCCACATTATTACAGTTCGGTTGTCCTTTGACAGGATGCTTATAAAATACCACTTTTCCATGTCACTCCCACTGTGAAGTGCAGAAGGGAAAGGACCGACAGTGAGACGACTCACCCAGAAGTCCTCTCCTGGGGCGGGTGTTCGGCAGACAGCGCAGGTGGCAGAGGCAAAGGATCCGTGTGCTTCAATCAGCTTTGAGGCAGGGATGCCAGACGCTGAAATTCAAACCAAAGCTGAGTGCTGCTGCCTCCCAGGGGGATGCACAGCCCCAGACCACGACCTCTGGGCTTGGCAGAGCCCCAGGAAGAGTCACAGCCCTCAGGGGTAGCCTGATGTCCCTGCCTCATCACCCACTGACCAGAATAAGCACAGGGACGAGGGTCCCAGCTGGAGCCAAATCACAGTTAAAACAAAGCCTGTCAAAACACAGTACAAAAAATTTGATGTAAGTTCAGATAAAATGATATCCTATACCTAGGAAAACATTTTCTATTCTACAGGTGCCAAATAAAAGTGAGAAAACAATATAAATACAATAAATTTCCAAAGAATTGTGGGAAAACAGACAAAAGGTAACTTACCATGAAAGTTCTCTGTTACCACTGTCAGCTTCTGAAAGGCTGTGGGTGGACAGACACAGTCCCAACTGCAGGAGGCGTCCCACCATGTCCCCATTATTGTCCTAACTCTGCTTATGCTGAAGCCCAGAGCCAGATGCTCCCGCCTTGCCACAGGCCTGCCCTGCTGCATCTCCAGGAGGGGAGATCGTCCCCATGGGGCATCCACTGCTGCTTATGTGATTCCAAGCTGTGGAATCCTTCTAGCAAGGAAACGTTCTCCTGGGATCAAGTGAGTCCTCTTTTCAAATCATAAGACATGGCAGCCTGGCCGAGCTGCTGCTGGCTTGTGGAGAGTGGACCGCCAAAACCCGTCAGCATCACTCATGTAAGAAAAACGCCCCAGCAACTGCTTCTCTAAGTACATGGCCAGAGGCCAGGATAGTCTGTGAATCACTGGTTATGGCCACCATCTGGACACAGTCAAGAAATCACCATACATCAAGTTTCATAATACTAAGGAATTATTACTGATTTTTTTGTGTGATGATATTGTAGTTATGTTTTAAAAGTCTTTATCTTCTAGAGATACCCACTGATGTATTTATAGATTAAATGTATTACGTGAGGGGTTTGCTTCAAAATAATCTAGGGTGAGAGAGGAGGTGGGGGAGGACTCAGATAAACAAGGACTGGCCGTGATGAGGACACGAGAGTGCATTACATTCTTCTCTTTATTTTTGTGTGCTCGAAAAATTCCATAATAAAATTTTTAAAAAAGAAGTCATCATATCAGATTAGCAAAACTAGAAGCTCTTGATGCCACCTTAATTCTACCCAAAGCTTACAGCCCGACAGGCACACTGGGAAAATGGGTGAACCAATGAAGTCCCAACAGGGACCCTTAAACACACAGCAGATGCTTTTATGGAGAACAAAAGCATGACTAGTTGGCTCAAAATCAGTCACAGGATAGGATATAAGCACTAGGCCTCAGCCCTGCAGAAACAGGCGCCCGTGCCTTCCCCACGGGGGAGGAGCGAGGTGAATGGAGAGCTCACCTCTCTCGAGCCCATCGATGTTCTGCGTGTAGAGCCGCAGAAGCAGCCCCTTCTCATGCAGCAGTCGGAAGAAGTAGTGAGTGACGTTGGGCCTATAGTTCCCAGGGTACAGTTCCTTGGCCAAAGCAAAAAAGGGCTTGGGGTTGTGAAAGAAAAACTCGAGTTCAAAGATGGCCTCGGGGTACGGGATGTCATACTGCTGGAGGTTGCTGTAGAGGCCACTCCCAGGAGACCTGCAAAGAGAAGCAGGAGGCTCTTAGTCCTTCAGAGAGAGCGGGGAAATGAAGTAAACCAGGGGTGGCCCAGGAGGAGTGAGGGGACCCCAGGGCTACCTGAAGTCTGGAACGCCGCTGGGGGTGCTGATGCCGGCCCCCACCATGACCACCACCCTCTGGCAGGCTCTGGTTCGAATCAGCTCAGCCACATCCTGCAGCAAAAGCTTCTCCTTCCTACTGTTGCCTCCACTTCCAAAGACGCTTGAAGCACCAGCAGAAAAAGATATGGGCCTTCTTCCACCTGTAATGCTGACAGAGAAAGGAGAGTGCCAGGTAACCAACAACTATCAAGCTCATGCTAGTGAAAATGAGCACTGTCTGCCCTTCCACCATCCCCACCACTGAGAATGACCATACGCTTCTCTCCTGTCCCTGGAAATGACTATCCTTCTCATCATGGATGACTATGGGCTAAAATAGAAAGCAGTCTCAACTCAGAAATCAAGACTTATTTGGGAGCAAAAAATTCAGGTTAACGGGAACTGTGCAAATAAGGAAAGTATCATTCCAGAATTCCTGTTATCAAAGGCCAGTGCTGAGAGAATAGGGTTCCACAACAAAAGCTCGAGCCAGAGCCAAGAGCATCCCTTCGTGGGGCTCTGGGCACACTCTTTGCAAGGCCATACACCCTAACACACCTGGGACGTGACAAATACCGTGACATTTAAAGAAAGGTAAACATCTCAGGCTTTACACCAAATATTATCAAGATGAAAAGTGGGCTCTAGAGACCATTCCAGAAAGAAACATTCATACCCTGAAAGCTAGGGGTTCAAAGTGCTGCAGAGACTTCATCTTCAATGTTCACAGCCATGTAGGGGGCTGCTCATAGTATGAGGCAGCCAAACAATCACACAGCCAAGGCAAGGCCATAGGAGACCGCAGCTCAGGGCTGTCTCTTCAAAGCTCCAGAAAGCTTCTCAGGTCTCTCCAGAAGCCAAGAGCTGAGACACTCACAACAAGATTCAGTGTTAGGAGTCTGAGATGGTCTTCCACAGGAAAAAAGAGCCAGACCACGATAAAGCAGTTACAGGCTTCAGTGAGGCCTCTGGACCCAATAAATGACTCGACGCCCAGGAAAGCCACAGGAAGAAACAAAAGCAATACAAATCACACAAAGCCCAGAGAAGCCCCTGAAAATGTCCCCCTGAAGCTGCAGCCATGGGAGGCATGTGGCACTAGAGCTTCACATGGGCCTGGAGGCCTCCTGAGTATACAGGTTTTCTCTCAGGCCCCTGCTGGGCATCGCACCAAGCTGCATAACCTCTTCATCTCCTAGTATCATGCTGGTGACTCACCCAGAGTCCAGGACCACCATCCCCCACTGCACAGGGTGCCTTCCTCACACCCCAAGGGCTGGTGGCCACCACGTCCATCCTTCCAGGAGAAGGCCCTTGATGACCCTCCCCCAGGACATCTCTGACGTCGGTATAGAGACCCCTCCACCCTACAGGAAAAGAGATTCAACCAACTGAACTGATGACCCTCCCCAAATGAATGATGACTCTAAAGTGAATACAGGCATAAAAACAGGAAACTGAGAGTATTTCTTTCACTCACAGGCACCCTAAAAGCACATCCTTAGACATACATAAGGACAACCCAGAGCTTATCTCCTGGGAGTATGAGCGAACTCCCTCTCCTGTTTGCTCTCTTTCGGTTTTTCCTTTGCTCCTTGCAAAACGAACACTGCAGGATTCCTGCACAGATAGGTCCACTTTACACACTGTTGCTGGGTTTTCCCTGAAGCTCTCTGCTCCCCACGGGACCCCAACATACCCCACCCCAGTGACAGTTTCAACCCCCACTACTCCCTCTCATATACCCCTCCTCTCAGCCAAACAAAAGGACTCCCTGGTTCTTGTGTATGTCCTAAACCCAGCTCCCTCTGCCTGAAAAGACCTTTCTCCACCTCAGTATCTCCAAATCTCCTGGAGTCAAGGCCAGGGTCAAATGCTACCTCCTTCATGAAGCCACTGCTGAACCCCAGTGAGAAGTCACTTAGCCCTCCTCCAAAAGCTGACAGTATCGGCTCATTTTAGGGTGCCTGTCACCCCTGCCACACGGCCTCTCACATTCAACTCTGGGGTCAGCAATGGTGCAATTCAGGGACTTGCTTGCAACTCACAGACCACTTGCATGCTTCTGTGTTGTTGTCTCTCCTGCCACCCAAAGCATCATCTTGGTTTTCAAAAAAAACAGGCCTCTGAAAGATGTGTAATGAGAAAGGGGAACATGACAAGGGAAGATGTATGTGTAGGGCTGAGGGCTCCAAAGGAGAGTCCTAGCTCGCTGCCTGCCTCATCAAGTCACTCAAACACCCTGAGCCTCAGCTGCCAAAGCCAAAAGCAAGGGACAAGAGATGATTCTTGCAGTCTTGTCTGAAAAGATCTGTAACAGTAAACCTCTCAGCAAAGAGTACAGGAAATACACGCAGCAGGGGAAACAACGGCCCTCTCCTACCTACACTCCTGCGGAGATGCCCAAAGACTCTGAAGAAAGTTCTGCTGCCCCAAAGACTTGCATAAAAGCACGTGTCAAGGCAGCTCTTCTGAGTGACTTCACTCTTCTGAGTGAAGTCACTGAAATCTCCAAAGGGGGTTCTCTAATGAAAACTGGTCAGGCGGTCAGGAAGGAAAAGAGAAGACTCTGGCTCCAACTACAGCTATTAAATATCCCTCTTCACTCAGCATTAACAACATCTATTCACCAAAGGTCCTCACCCAAATATTTACCAACCCCCGCGTCTAAATGCAAATTACTATGAGAAATACAAAAGAAATGAGAGGGAAGTTGTGATATTGTGATTTATAACAAATTTATATTTTGATTTTCATCTCCAAACCCCTGGAATTTCCTGAGCAACAAGAGCACTGGGAGCATCTTTTGTTATAATATTTGGTCTTAAATCCTCGGTTCCTGAAATCACTTCAGAGCTGTGAAGGTGACATGGGTGTCCGTTATTCATAACAAGCCCCTTTTCACCACAACTGGATTTCTGTTAATGAGGTGACTTCTGCAAATCCCCTAAGGATGAGGGCTGGTGGCCAGGGGAACAAATCGTGATTGGAGGGTTGGTGCCTCCATAAAACCCAAACGGAGGGGGGTTCAGAGAGCATCCAGGTTGGTGGACCAGAACGCCAGGCCAGTGCCAGGTCCTGGGGGCCCAAACTCCCAGGGACAGAAGCTCCTGCATTTGGGACCCTTCCAGACCTTGCCCTAAGTATCTCTTCATCTGGCTGTCCATTCATATCTCCTAACATGCTTTGTAGTAAACTGGTGATCTAGTAAGTGAACTGGCTTCCTGAGTTCTGTGAGCCGCTCCAGCAAATTCATCCAACCTGAGGCAGGGTGGTGTGAACCTCTCGACTATAACAAGCACAGGTGGCAATCTGAATTTGCATGTGAAATGGAAGCAGTCTTGTGGGACTGGGACCTTGTGGAACGGTGGGGAGCTGGTGCTATCTCCAGTTCGATAGCGTCAGAATTGAGTTAAATTTGTGGGACACCTTGTCAGTGTCTGCAGAAAACTGGAGAACTGCTTGGTGGTGCTGAAAAAACACATATTATAGAAGTTATTGCCATTGTGGCATGCCTACTGAGTGCAAAGTGTTACTCAGGGTACTTGTGTAATTCACATCTACATGAGTAACACCTTTGCCACTAAAAAACACATGGACAAGTTTTTAACAAATGTCTAGAATGTACTTAAGGTGTAGAACTTCAAGTATATGCCACATGGAATTAGACTTACCGGAAGTAGGGGGACCCTGAGGAGCAAGCATGGGTGCCACCTGGGAAACTGAAACAGGACGATTTCATACAAGAACCCCAAAATCAAAATGGCAGAACTCCCAAACTGCAGAAAACCTGTGCCAACAATCTCCTGTTTGGGGCAGTGGTAGATTTGTTTAATGATGGCTGGCAGTCCCTGGAACAGCACCTGGCAGATCAGGTCGCTATTCAGCCACGTCCCACACACACAACTGCCTGAGATTATGGGCTGGAATGAACTCCAGCACAGCAAGTGTCTGTCCAGTCCCTGCTCTACCCTCAGCGCCTGGAACAGAGTCTGTACAGAATAAGAGTTCAATAACGGTTTCCCGGATGAACGGAGGACTCCTCTATCTCTTTATTAAACTCTTCAACAATATCTTAGCAGCTGTGCAAGATGGCATCAAATGAATATATTAAACACTCATCCATTATCGGGCATTTAAGTTAGTTTCCTAAAAACTATGATTAACAACTATGGGCCTGAAGATTTTTCCGTATGTAAGCCCAATTCCTAGGCAAGGATTCCAAAATCTGCAATTACTGTCTAGAGGGTATCAACACGTACTGGTGGGGACACTAAAAATGTATATACCTCTGGACCCAGGAGTTCCACTACTAAGAATTTATCCCCAAAGTGGGGTACAAATAAGATTATTCACAGCAGCATTACTTGCAATAACTAAAGATTAGAAACTACTTCACTAAGAGAACGGTTACTTTATGAAGCATCACTACAAGGGAATTCCACAGGTCAAAATAAAAGACTGGAAAAGCACTCACGTTTTCAAACGGAGTAACCCCAAGACAAATTGTTACGTAAGAAGGCGAAGTACCGAAAACAATCCAATTAAAAAGGTGGCGGGCCAGGAACGAACAGGCGAGCACGGCTCGCACGCGCCCAAAACGCCCGCGAAGAAAATCACGACCCCCCGGCGCCGCAGACTGGGAACCTGAGCCACCCCTCCGACCAGCCAGCTCGGGCTCCGGCCGTACCGCCCGCGGGAGCCCGCGCCTCCGGGTTGTGGGCACCGGCCGGCGCGGCGCCAAGGCCGTGCGTCTCCGCGCTTGGCCCCCCGCCCCGGCCCCGCGGAGACCACCCGGGACGAACCGAGGCTGCCGGGCCCAGGCCCGTTCACCTCCCGGGCCCAGGAGCTTGAGCGCGGCAACCACACGCCGAGGACACAGCGCCATGCTCCTCCGGGGGCCGTAGGCGAGCGCACCCCCGACGCTCACACGCCCGCCCCGCGCGCTTGCCCGGCTCCGCGCGCCTTCGCTACACCCAGGTCACGCTGGCCCTTGCCACGACCCCGTGAGTCCGCGCCACGCCCTCGTCCCGCCTCATCCCGCAAGCCCTCGCCTCGCGCCCTCGCCCCGCCCCCATTACGCTTGCCCCGCCCCCGCCCCGCGCCTCAACCCCGCGCGCCGGGAGCAGATTGGTTCCATAGTCGCCTGAGCTGCCGTCTCTCGCCCCAGAAACCAAACTGGGACCTTGCATTTCTGTCCTGCACTCCCACTTTTTTTCAATCGGGATGGTGATCGTGATGATAACTAACACTTTCTGAGCACTTACGATGGACAGGCATTACATTTACACTTAGTCCTGGCAAGACGCTACCAGAAGGTGCTATTAGTATAATGCCCGCTTAAGCTTAAAAAGCGGGTCACAAAGGCCAAGGCCACACAGCCAGTCGATGGCCAGCTGACCCCAGGCGCCCATCCTCTCCAACGCCTCAAAGGCACAGCCAGCTGCGCGGGAAATCCGGTACAGACCCGGCAGAGAATTTCGTCAAAGCACAGAGATGCGGTTACCCTGACAACCAGCCGGGGCCCGAGGCCGCGGACGGCGCTCCCGGCCTGCCCCGCGCCACGCGGCGCCGGAAGTGAGTGGGCACTTCCGGCAGCCATCCCTGCGGCGCTGACGTCTGTGTGGTGCCGCTGTCGCGGAGTCTTCCTGCAGTCATGAAGGACGTGCCCGGCTTCTTACAGCAGAGCCAGAGCTCCGGGCCCGGCCAGGCCGCCGTGTGGCACCGTCTGGAGGAGCTCTACACGAAGAAGTGAGCTCCGGGCCGAGGGGCCCCGGGGAGAGGAGGGCGAGGTGGAGGGACGACGGGGGAGGGACGCGACCTGACGGACTGAGGGCGCTCAGACCGTGTCGGGGGCGTGGGGACAGGAGAGGCCGGGACATGGCTGAGGACTCTGGAGGTACAGGGCCGAGGGCGAGGAGGGGTGACAGCCCGTGAGGCCTGAGGAGCGGAGCCGTCAGCAGGGTTTTGGGGTCTGGGGTTCAGACCCACAAGCTGGCCTGTGCTTTGAGTTTGTGATTCCGGTCAAACAAGCAGACGCCCTTTCGGTGTCAGGCTGCCATCCATTTTGGATAACAGATTCTGGTGTCTTGTACTTGGCTTGTCATAGTGTGACCGTATCTACAGTTATCTTTCTCAGCGACCTGGAGCCGGTAAACCGGGGGCCAGTGCAGTTTTGTTCTTTTTCCTGTTGATTCTGCAACTGGTTACACGCTGGAGTGCAACCACATTCCCCTCTCCCATGGTTCCTACGTTCCGTTGCATTCCATGTTGGACTTTGTGCCCCTAGAGAGATCTCAGAGTTTGGATTTGTTTAGAAACGGGATGAACCTGAGAGCAAGTAAATTGTCTGTTGCTGAGCACCAACCTCTTTTTAAATGAATAGAATAAATTACTGGTAGTGGGCTAGCAATGTTCCCTAGGAAAATACACCTCTTGTAAAAACCTCCCTGTTAACAACCTATCGTTAGGTGTTGTGCTTTTCATGTAGATTTTCAATATGTGTTTTGGTAATATTCAGCATCCTTCTGCTATTAGCAGTTTTGGAGGGAAAATTCTTAGTGTTTGGCAAACAGTTGCTGTGTTGGGTAGCACGTTGTATTTCTCAAAGCATTTAACTTGCATTCTTAAAAATTAGCCTTTGGTTTCGAATGTGCTGTGTCTTTTAGAGGTTCTGTGTAC